TTAAAGATTTTTGTAAAGAATGGAATTAGAAGTAGAAGTAACCATAATTTACAAACAAATATTTTGCAAGTATAATAAAAATATAGGATGAAAGAAAAAGTTTTAACGACCTAACTTCATGACATAAAATAATGTCTTAGCCTAGGGTTGCACATGATGTATTTTTAAACTAGTCAAAAGCATAAAATGTATGTTTTGACATTACTTTTTTACTTTCAGGTGTTATATAAAAAATATATATATTTCGCTACATACTAATTTAGTTTAATAAATTAAAACGTACGTATTTTTGTGATCGTTGAATCATTACATATTAACTTTTATATTTAACTTAAAAATGTACGGTTCAGGATATCGGTCAAATTAGGCTGAATCTTTATATCTTTTTTATGCTACAATATTTTGTTAAAGATTTTTGGATAGCGGAAAATTCGTTTGTTTTATTAAGTTAAATCGTAACATGTAGTTTTAGCAAAAATATTTTTTCATTTTTTACATTTTATATCTTATCGGCAGTTTTATGAAAGCTTGAGTTCCTTCCACATATATAGTTTTTTTTATTCAGAACAAATAATATATGTATAACAACTGACACTCACATCTCGTCTGCCCGTGATCACGGTTGCTGAAAAGTAGCCGAAACGTCGGGAGTATGAAGTTTATAATCAAAAATAAAAACGCAATATAAAATCCGAAAATATTAGTTTCATTTATGTATAACAACTTAAATGTAGCAAAAAGAAAGCAAGTAGTTAAATTACATAAGTGTCAAAACCAGACCAACTGCCATGAATTCCTGTTATAATATACGCTTTGTGAACGTTTACTTCTCGAGAACTAAGTTATTTTGAGGATAATTATTTTTACGGTCAAAACCAAAAATATGAAATAGAAACTTAAAATTATGTCTACAATCACGCAACGGATTCTCGAAATCAATGGTGTGTGTATAACTTTGATTAGTTGAGATAAAAGAGTGAATGACAGAAATTTTCATTTCGTAATTGAAAAGTCCGGTAAAAATAAAATTTAAAATAAACGAGCCAAGTTGATTTACATTAAGGTGTATAGTCATCAGCCTATAAGCGCCCACTGCTGAGCAAGGCCTCTTTCTCACATGGAGAAGGTTTGAGCATTAATCACCATTCTTGCTCAAGACGGGTTGGTGATTTCAAACTTATAATTATGAAACTATAAGTCCAGGTTTCCTCACGATGTTTTCCTTCACCGTATGTCAGTGATGTCTAAATAATCTCAGAAAGTACATATGACTTCGAAAAATCACATTGGTACTTGCCAGGTTTGAACCCGCGCCCTCCGCAACGAGAGGCGGACCCTTTAACCATTAGGCCACCACTGACAAGTAAGGTGTATACTACTCCTAAAATTGGAAAATATTACATGAATTATAAATTTTTGCTAAAACAAACTATCGCTTATAAAGTATATATTTTAATAATTATATCATACATGCAAAAATAAAATGGAGTTTTGACATATTAAAACATATCATGGAGATTAGAATGTGGGATGTGGATATGTGTTGGATTTAACAATTTTGTGTATGTAAACAAATTTATTTCAAAATACATTTTTTAATTTTTTTCCCCTTTGTTTTGAACACGCAATACGATACATTATTGTTTATTTATTACGAAATACTGACTTATAAACGATAGCTGAACGCCGTGCAATTTATATATCTTACTTTAATTATAATCTGGATTGATTTTCATTGATTTCACATGATGTTGATTTATCAACCATCATTAAGATTATCTGTTGTTATCTCCCTAAAAGCAGACATTTTTATACTAAATTAAGGCACCCGGTAAAATTCGTAGTTCCTGAATTAAAATTAACGTCACACTTAAATTTTAGACGAACTTTTTTTAATTTAAAACTTTTTTTAAAGTCATCATATGCCTAAAAATTTGACTGTTGAAAATAATTTGAGTGCTGATAATGTTAATCCCTTTTTATTACTGAAAGTATTCCATTGTTTTGCTTTTAAAATACATACATATTAGAAAATTGAGGAAATAATATGTCATCGTCTGAAATGTTTTATTCAATTAAGTTAATTAATTGGAAGCAGAGTGAACCGTAACTGATGTATGTAAAAAGTTTAGTTACCAGACCTATATATGATGTGGAAAAAGATTTTGCCTTTGATCATTTTTTTATTAATTTTCCTTAACACTACTTTCTATTAAGATTACGAAACTAAGTATATACGTAATAATTTTTTCTTTAATTATAAACTTTTTAAACTGGAAATTAACTAGACAAATCCATTTAAACTTAAAAGTTTAATTCATCGTTTGCGTGAACTTAAATATCCAAATAAATATACCTACCTTTTAATTCTCATATATGATTTCTTTTCATGGCATTACATACATATATTAATGGTAATTTATAATTAGACTGAATATTGTGTTACTCGAATTCGCAAGGGAACCGGTATGAAAAATAAAATAAATAGCGTTGAAATTTGTCGATCAGTTTGAGACCTAAGAAGAGGCAGATAGATATACACACGCATCCTTCAATTCTTCTGTTTATTCTGTTAATTATAATTTTGCAAAAACAAAAATAATCTAATCATGTTTTATATTTCTTAAGAGGTAGTTTTGTTTATTTATATATTTTATATAATATTTGCATAGAGATGAGAACTGCAGGAGTGGTTATATGAATCCTGCTTCAATACAACAAATTTTAAACCCAATTTTACAATATGAATTACCTTTAACATTTTTAAATGAAGTCAGTATGTATAGTTACTTCATTGGTTTTTTGTTATCATTTTACCCTATAACTTCTCTTCAAGTATGTTTTGCACATACATAATAAATTTAAATAAATTATTCATATTTAAAACTAATATACTATGAAGTTATAATTCGTTTGTTTTTACAAGAAACTCCTTTTATTAAGTCAATGTGAACCAGGTCAACTTTGTTTGTCATCTTCATTGTGTCGCAGTTCATTTCAAATGGATTCCATGTGATATGCTTTTGTAACTATTATGAAATCTTGAAGTAAGTTTTATATTCACCTTATCATATATAAATTTTGTATTTGAAATCTAGTTACCATTGAGATTTAAGTGTTTTTTTAGATGGACATTGAAGGTAAATAACTTTAGGGTTCCTATATATTGTATGTATAAAATTTTACTAAGTCTTATCTTACAGTTGTCTGTGTATATTGAATTATTCTATTTGATATGAATAGACTAAAAGGTTCCTATAAAAGTATACATATTGAGAGCCTATTGGGAGCCCCGCAGTTATTCCGAGTGACAGGTTTGCCCTAAATCATGAAAATAAAATAGGAATTTCATACAAAACAAATAATGTATAAGTTTTTAAGTACATTTTAATAATAGTTATTTTAACTGTAGTGTTAATTTTTTTTTATGCGAAAGGGGGCAACCGAGCAGACGGCCTACCTGATAGAGGTAGTACCGTCGTCATAGACATCCGCAACAAAGTGTGCGGATGTGTTGCCAACCCTGATTAGGAAAGAGGGGAAGGAAAATGTAGGAAAGGGAGGGAAAAAGAAGGGGTAGGAAAGGGAAGGGGAAAAGGAAAAGGGAAAGGGCAATTTGAATTCAAATAGACATTCGATAATTGAAGGAACGCAGAATTTTTAAGGGAAATATTAAGAATCATAAAATTCTTCAGAAAACGCAAGGGTTCCAAGAATGAGTTTAATTTTTTACTGAATATTTTGTTACTAATATAAAGAACAGTTGCAATTCAAAAAGATATATGTTGAACCGTATTTTGTTCATCGCAAACATTCTTAATTGTTCTATATGGCTCAACCTTGAAATATAATACTATTATAACGCTCTTAACATAATATGAATCTCATATTTAATAAATATATGTAAAGTTATTACGGCATTTCTTTGTGAGGTGTTAAATGCCAGTCGATAGGTAAACGGCACCAATGACAAACCTTTGGATAACTTTGGATAATTGTGGTTGCTATGGTTAATGCTAAAAATAAGAAAATGACCCAATATTTCAAGTTTTACACACAAGCGCAGTAGTAGTTTTGTGTTTTTTTTCTTTAATAAGTATATTTGAAAAAAAAATCATCATCATTAACTTATACTTAATATTAACCATTCAGTTAAAATTTGGTTTTTATTTAAAGAATACACTCCTCTTATAAAAGAAACCGATTCGGTATACATTTTTTATAAGCATAATTGTTCGATTAAAAATATGTAATTTCGATGGATTTAAACAGTGGAATCGTGATGTAATTTCAGTCCGATAGAAATCTCATTCGGGTTCGTCTCGCTTCATTTGTACAACGATAGCTATCCATTCTACATAGAAAGCTTGATTTATTGCCAGAAATAAGATTCACTTTTTTACTCAAATAGACTTATGTTTTTTTTTTAATTTTGACATTTAATTATTAGTATTTATGTCATGATATCTTATCATTTATTTTCAATTAATACTATAGATTGTTTCTCAAAAAAATTTTACTTGACGGAGCAATGGACTAGAATACATATGTATATATATGCAGACGAATTAAAAAATTCTGTAATCGGTTGTAAACTATAGACATTAATTAGATATTACTCTTTTTTTCTTATAAAGGTATCTCTTGTCATCATTCACTTTCAAAACATTAAAAAATTACTTGTTTTCTTTATTATGTATTATTGTAGCTAGACGATCTTATAAATATATGGATGTTATGTGTCACTTAAAAGGTCTTTCTAGTGCATGTATATAATATAAAAAGATACCTTTTTACTGAATTCGTTTCAAATGTAGAATTTCATAAATTAAAAAATAATATTTAATAGTCATTTATTAGGAAAGTGTTAATCGAGAATTATGCAATCATAAAACAATATGGGCACAAAAAGTTAGGTGTTTTTAAGATATTTTCTTTTTTTTTTGTGTAAGCTTTTTACATTATCTTTATTTCTGGTGACCTATTTTACACTCTGAACAATGAAAGACCCGAGCTTAAAAATAGGAGCAAAGATGTTTTTGGATTGGGCTATGGTGTCTGTACTGTAATAAAAATATTTATAACAAGGTAAACCTATAAACGAGTACAAAAATTATTTCCTCTATTTTTGCAATCACTAGAGTAGTTATGCATTATTAATACCGATGCTAAATTGGAATATTCTGATTGACATTAATAATTATATGTAATAATATCGTAGTCCCTCGAAAACAATAGGTATTAAACTAGTTTGAATGTGTTTGCTTTGGAAATATTGACCTTTTTGATCTAATTTGTGTAATTGCTTGAAAAAAATCGAAATCAGAACTTTAATATGATTGATGACAAGCAAAAAAATAGTCTTGCCGTTAATGGTTCCTCGCCATCTTACAAAATATGGTATTAAGTTGGAGGTAAGTAGTAAGTATAAAAATATTTTACTTAGTTTTCAACAAATAGTTTTATGGAGAATTTTGACGGAAATCTTTATAGTTTACACATTTATTGCAAAAAAAGAACGGAATGGTTTATTTCACTTTATTCTCTTTTAGATTTTAATCCTATATGTTAACAGAAGTCTATCTCATTAAAACTGAGTAATGGATAACTCAAGACAAATTTCGGAAAACTTATTGGTTACTTCATATGTATGTTCTTCAACGTTAATAATATCATGCGTAATATTTCTACTCTTATCTCGGTTTTAGCTAAGGAACTATATTGTAAGTAAGTTTTTAAAAAAATTTGCCTCAACTCCCGAACATATTTCATGTCACACAAGAGATTTGTTAACTCATGAATATGATTACGTCATGTTGTTTTTAGAACAACATCTTATTTTATTTGATCAATTTTAATTATTACAAGTTTTAGTGGTGAGTGCATTATTTTTAATTTGTAATATCTATGGACAAACTTTTCTTATTTTTTTATTTATTTATTATTATTTATTTATTTATATAATACATTACAAATTTCTTTTACGGTGTTACAAAATCCCTTTCGGGTTTATCCGTACACCGGCATTCATTGAGTACACTCGGAAGTTTTAGTACATAAATATACTACCTATAACACTATAAACTACATAAGATTTTGAGTAACTGATGTTTGTTTAATTGTAACTCATATGTGAGGGTATACGTTAAAAGATTTTTAAATTATGTTAATAATACAATAGGTACTTACAATGCACTACTCGGCCGGTCGGTCATTAAAGCTGATTTTGCGATAATGCATTTGAAAGAAATAACTTGTAGATAGTGCAAATACAGGTGATCCGTTTCCCTTTATGAGATATTATTTAATTTTATTTAATTAGGTATATTAAGTATTATTCTTAATATTTAAAAAATATTCTTTATTATTACTTATTTCATGTTTAAAATCATTAGTAAGATTGTTCAAAAATGTTGTAACAAGATATTCAAGGATCTCGCGTAAATGTGATCAATACATGTCTTACTAATTTCTTTACTACACTCTTCTACACGGGTATATTCCGAGATCCCACACACAAGCCCGTGATTATATATAACAGTGCTATATTTATGCTTTATAGGACAGTTATATTTTAAGTATAAGTTTATATCTCCTAATACATATGTATATACATATATCCTGACTCTGTTCTATTTTACAAAGAAATATGTCTAGTTCATTTACAAATAAGTGCTTACTACATATTACTAAGTGGTATATACATAGCATCTTAATGCGCAATTACATGAATACTCATACAAATGATGATTTTGTTTCCTTGTATCTTGTTCATTTTCATGGTTTTTGGTTGTCAGATTCATATTCATGCAATATTATTTTAAATAACGCTAACTTTGAAGCTTCGAAAGCTGTAAAATTACTAATACAATATTAAAACACGGGTGTCAAGGCAAATATATTATTTATCTTGCTAATGTTTCAGTCTAGTTGCACTGGATGTGGTCACAAGTTGCTAACATATGTCATATTATTTAGTAAAATAATAAATAGTTTTTATTATTTTTATAAATAAATAAGGAAATTTAACGACCTTCAATAAAATGTTACGAGTAAACACTTTTGTGCAGTAACATATATTATGAATGAATGAACAGAATAAGTTCCATCAGGCCTTCAGAGTGTACGTGATCCATACTAATTAATTATGTTAATTCACTTAGTAAATATTGATTTCTTTGACTCTCTTAGCCTTTGTGTTATATTTCCAAATACTTCAGATATTACAATCATGAAAGCATATTTACGTTCATAGCTTAAATGACATTATCATTGTTTCGAAATTTATATACACAAAGTTTTGTTTCAGGAATTTTCCCAGAGGAAAATGGTGTGCGTAATATGGAGATATTAAATAACGCATGTTTTGTTACATTGTGTGAGGCTTAAGTGGTATAGGTACATTTATATTAATCTAATTAAATGCAATGATAAAATTTAAGGCTTCATAATAAAAAAAAAATAATCAAAATGATAGTAATATGTTCAAAATATGATTCGTCAGACGTGGATTTGACTTTTTAGTTTTATACGAATTTTGTAATTAAAAGTCACAACTATTTTGAGAACATATGATTTCCATTTATATTATGTTTCCTCTTAATAACAGGCAAAAGGTAAATCGAAACACTAATATAAAACATATCTTTTAAAATAGCTGTCTTATCTTCACTTATAGCTTAATTTTCTTAACATATATCGATATCATTATTTTTATACTACCAGTGTTTGCTCTTTCATTGTAACAAATACAGTATTTTTTAGAGTCAGGAAATTAAAATAACTACTGAATGATTTTATAGATACATCTAATAAACATTAAGACTGATATGACTAGATATGGGCTATTAATTACTCGGAGCTGTTTGGATTGTATTAATATAATACGATGATAAGATGTATTAGGAGTTTGATGATAATTTATGGCAATAAATAAGGAGGCATAATTTTATAAGCAAGCAAAAAACAATAATTATTTCCGATTTGAATATATTTCCTAAATGTCGAAAGATTTTTTAATTCTTTCTCAAATATTACGTTTTAATTCTTTAAAATATATATACAACCGTTGCCTTATTTAAGTGTTCTTTATAAATAGCTTTATTATGTTTTAGTAAATAAGTATATTAAGATTTACACTACCTCTGATGACAGTGCGTATGGACTACGGATAATGCCATGTCAGCATTCTGCGGCGGGTGATACCCACAATTAGATTGCACCGGCACCTGTTTTCCCAGCCTTACGTCATCCAATCACTAAATAACCACATCACTAAATTATAATCCACATTACTAAACATTTAAGTTTGGTTTCAATCACAAGTTTTGATTTTAGGGTTATTTTAATTCTGTAAAAGTAAGTTAACGCCAAGAAATATCTTTAACAGAAATTTTCAATTAGAAAACGTAATCACTACAACAATATTTATATATATATATACGAAAATCATGAAACGAAAATACGTGCAGAGATTAAGAACCGTTTTAATATTAAACTTATATGAGCAATGTTTGTAAGACAATTTCAATATAAGGGTATATGTATATCCTTCTCAAACAGTCATCTACCATATTCAGTTTATCTCACAATGCAAATAAAAAAAAAAAAGGAATATTCACTACATTTACGGGTTTCTTTATAATTTAAAAGAGGAATTCTGGAGTTATAATGCAGTAATTGCTGATAAGTCTTTATCAGTTTTAATAAATACTATTGAGAGCAAAACCAGATTTCTCTTAGTAAGGTATTTATGTATAAAAAGAATTTTCTAATAATTTTATAAAAATCTACAAAATAAAAATCTAAGTTATACAATTGTTTTAATTATAAGTTATTATAATTAAAACAATTGTTTTAATATATTTTTTATTGCGTAATGAGGTAAAATATATAAAAATTATAATTCTCAAAGTCAGCAATAATATCGTTAAAGAAATGATTATGGTCACAAAATATTATGATTATCATAATCTTTCATTTCATGTATTTAGCATCCAGAAAAAAGAATGTTTATAAAGTTTCATTTCCGTGATATTAAACTTATATCATTATTTTGTTCAATTAACTTCATAATATAGTAACGTCATACTTAAAGTAAAGAATTCGTCTCCAAAAGTTTGTTCTAACAATTTTCATTAAATTCCTAACTAGAGCATCCTCGCCAACAAGCTTCGTATTTAACTTTGTAGAACTCAAATAAAATCAACTTAATTTTATATACCAATATGAAAACTTTGGGTGTCGTATAATTTTAATTACACGGGAGTAGGAAACGTCTATTATTTTCACTTATTGGAACAACCTTAAAGGAAATCCTCTGAATAAGATCACATAACATTGTTTGATTATTTATTGTAAAGGGTGGTGTTATTATTTCGTTAATAAATTTAAGTCCGTTTTAAAACGAGTTATCTTATTTAGTTAGTATAATATCCATAGAAGTTTAATAATATTGTCTCTCACTGGCTACTCGTTGCTCTGTAGTGTGCTACAATTAAACCGTTTTCTTCGATAGTTCGAAGAGCAGTAGTCAAGACGCTATTATTGTTACAGTGTTCATGTTGGGTGCACTTATATCCGTTTCTATTCATTCTATATCGGTTTCTGTTCGATATAGAAATGCTTTTTCTGCTACTAGTAAAGTACGGTCCGTGTGGAAAGAAACCGTGTAAAGACATCTTCAGAGTTAGCTTTTTAATGACTATTTAATGTATTATGTACCTACGTACAATATATTTAATGAAAATTTAATTGATAGCAATCTTTTGAAAACGAGGCTTTCATGATAAGCATACCTACGCTTACAGTGAAAATAACTGAATATTTCATTAAAGTAAGAAGGTTTTACAAATATTTAGATGATTTAAATATTGATAAATATATTAAGATTATAATATTGTGGAAAGTTTCTGTGTAAAGACATCTTCAGGGTCAGCTTATTATGACTGATACATTGCTTGGCAACTAAATTTAATTGATAGCGATCTTTTGAAAGCAAAGCTTGCACGGTTAGCTAATCTACACTTACTGTGAAAATCACCGAATAATACATAAAAAAATATG